TTTTGAGGTGCAGTGATCAGAACTGTACACCACACTCCAACTTTGTATGCACATGGTTTCCCTTCCTGCAAATACATGACAGACAATTATCTCTTACCACAAAACCCGTGCTACATCTCCCGGCTCCATTTTTGACACAGTAAGATTCTCGAGACCTTGGATGTTAAAGAGTGATAGTATGGTTCATTACTTTCTTTCTCAGTTTTAAATATTAGGCAACCTTTAGAAAATGAGATTTAAAATGTTCTCAGTAACGGAATGTATATGTTGAACTGCATGTTATTGAAAGAGGGGGGTTGATTCTAGTTTTCATACAATATGTTATCCGTCCTGTTAATTTATAACTCTGTGTAAAGTTTTGTATGTTCCCAACAAAATCAAAATAAAATAACTGTACACAGTATTCCAAATGAGGCTACACCATAGATTTATACAGGGGCATTAGGATACTGGCTGATTTGTTTTCAATCCCCTTCCTAACAACCCCCAGCATAGCATTTGCCTTTGTACTGCAGTTGCACACTGAGTCGACATTTTGAGTGAGTTATCTACCATGACTCCAAGACTTCTCTCTTGGTTACCACCAGTTCAGACCCCATCAACATGTATTTATAGTTGGGATTTTTGGTTCCAATGTGCATTACGTTGCACTTGCCCATATTGAACCTCATTTCCCATGTTGATGCCCACTCACCTAGCCTCACACTCTGGAGCACCTCACAGTCCTCCCTGGTTTTCACTGCTCTGAACAACTTAGTGTCACCTGCAAACTTAGCCATTTCACTGCTTACTCCCAACTCCAAATGATTAAGGAACAAGTTAAAAAACACCAGACCTAATGCCAAGCCCTGTGGTACCCCACTGCTTACCACCTTCCACTGTGAAAACTGCCCATTTATACACTCTCTGTTTCCTGTTCATTAACCAGTTTTTAATCCACAAAAGGACTTGTCCTCTTATCCCAAGACTGCTGAGTTTACTTAGGAGCCTTTGATGAAGAACTTTATCAAAAGCTTTCTGGAAGTCAAGGTAAACAACATCTACTGGGTCAACCTTGTCCACATGCTTGCTCACCCCCTCAAAGAACTAAAAGGTTAGTGAGACAAGATCTTCCCTTACATGCTGATTTTTCTCAATAGCTTTTGTTCATCAATGTGCCTACTAATTCTATCTTTAATAACAGATTCCACACTTTAGGGGCAGAACAGACTCCTGTCCATCACAACCTTTAACTACTATTATAAAACTGTTCTATTCTACATATGTTTTTGGTTATCTTTGTTACAAAAATAGAGTATTGTTTTCAGGAATAAAATCTAAGAATATTTACTAAAGACTAAGACCAGCCACAAAGCACAATCAAATGCTGAAAATGAACTACTGGTTTCCTAGTACACTACACATTATGTTGTCTGTCTCTCAAGCCCACAAAAACTTTGTTTTGAATGCACTCAAAGTGTCAGGTTACTACAAGAAAGAGCCCAGCACATTAGATGAGACTGGAATGCAGTGACCTCATTCATGAGGTTTATATAAGGATACTTGTTTTTCTGTTCTGCTACAACTTTGCAAAGTGTTGGAGAACAATAGCAGGAAGTCATATATAAGCCAGCAATTGTGTTCTCTGATTTTACATTTCTGTGCCTAACAAAAAGAGACTTCCCAGTAAGGCAAACTTTGCCTAGCTTTCCCTATCCCAGTCTTTAATTGTTCCTCAAACTGACAGGAAGCTGTTCTAATGAAATGATGAACAGCTGTCTGCAATAAAGAAGAAAAGATCCTGGCAATTAACATTTCTATTGTTCTATGCTGACATAGACAGGTTATGGCCTAGATTGCCTTTCTTGAATCTCTCTCTTCTAATAAAAACAACAAATATTTGTACCTTCTTGTGAAATTACAATTTCCTAGGGACAAACAGAAATGAAACACAAACAAGACAGTAAAGGATAGTCCACTGCTTTAAAATCAGGTTAGGAATGGCTTGGGTCATTGTCCTCATTCATGGGAGCTGTCTTCTCATCTAAACAATGAAGTCTAGGAGCTGGAAGCTCACAGTTCTGAGGCAGGAACTTCTCTGTTCTCCATAGTACACTATGACATGGCTGCTACATGCATTTAGAGTTCTGTACTTAAAAACCAATATCAATGGCCACTCGTAGGCAAGCCACACAAATTTATATAAGCCTATTGTATTTGCACGTTAATTTGTTGCCTTTTGCACAATTCTAAAATTGTATCTTGAGAAAGCTATTATGATGATGGGGAAAGTACAGAAAAGGGCAACCCAGAATGATTAGGAGCAATGTTCCCTCTAAGCTGTGGAGTCTTGTGAGCAAAAATTAAACTGTGAGCAAATAAAAATTTGTGAGCTACTGGCATTAAAGTTGTGAGTGAGTGAGTTGACTACTGCATAAATTAGTTTGCTCTGGAGCCATCCTTTCTGAGCTAAAACAAAAATCTGTGAACTAGAGGCTAAAAACGGAGCTAGCTCATACAAACTCAGTTTAGAGGGAACACTGATTAGGAGTTAGGGCACTTTTGTAAAAGAAAGGGAGTTTAATAATCTAGTTTAGAAAAGATGACATGAGAGAGGTTTATAAAATTGTGCATGGAATAGAGAAAATGGAGAAAACATAAACTTGGTGGCAATGAAGCTACGGGCAGTAATTCAAGACAGAACAGGAAGTGCTTCTTCACACAGATAATCAGCCTCATTGCCATGGGATACAGTGATGGCTACTGCCTTAGATGGCTTTAAAAAGATATTAGACAAATTCATGGAAGGCAATTCCAGATGGGTAGTCATGTTAACCTGTAGCTGCAGAATAAAACAAGGAGTTCAGTGGTACCATATAGACTTAAAAAATTATTCCAGCATTTATCATGGAGATTAGGTCCATTAATGGATATCAGTCATGGTAACTAAAGGAAAACTCCACGTTTAGAGATAGTAATACCGGTGCTGGAGGCAACCATGGGGGACAGCCTTGGCCTCCATGCCCTGGTTATATGTCTTCTGGTAGCAATGCTTAATGATAGCATTACTAGTTCTGTTCAAGCAACTCATCAGGACTTGGGGGAGGAAATGACGTCTCACTTAGGTGAATGGAGCGGACAGATATGTGTCTGTGAAAAGGAAGAGCAGTTTGCTGAAAGGGACAGTGCTGAAAGGGACAGTGAGACGTGCAGGAACACTGAGGATGTAGGGTACTGAATTATTGCCATGGAGGAATGTCAATGCCTCTATCTTTGCTCTACCTGTATATTTTGAAATAAAGCAATTACAGAACTGACTACAAAAACACCCTAAATCTCACTGCTCTCCCCTTCAAAGGGAATGAACTTAAATAACTGCCAGCCCTTTGAAGCTTCTCACTGCTCAGAGAAGGAGGGCACTTGTAACACTGCTCTGACCCTCAGTTCTTCAAACCGAAAACAGCATTCTCTCCACATATTAGAACTTAACCAACCATGTGATAACATATTACAGCAATATCATACATGACCTTATCTAGAGAAAAAGATGTCACATCCATCTTATTTTTAAAATGCAATCAGCCAATCCTATCCTTTCTACTCAGTAGACTGATCTTTTGGATTGCTCCCAGAAGACTGCAGCTCATGACAGCATTTATGAAGTACTCAAAAAGGGTATTAGGAACTATTTACTACAGACAAAAAATGAAACTGGTATTGTTATGACCGTTTATAAATTAAGGGTGCAATCATACTTTGCATAATGCGTTCAGTACGGGGCTGGCTATTCCACCTCAAGAGGCATACACTGAAAAGTATAGTAGAGAGCAACATCAGCCATGGCATGAAGTATGGTTGGCAAAAAGGCTAAGGCAGGCTCTGAATAATGAAGAGCAGCTGTTTAACCTTTTATAGTACTAAAATTTAAAAGTACACAATAAGTATGGATTAAATGACACATTAGTAAGACATTTCCCCTTCAGATATTTCCCTGAAAAACCTCCTGCTATCACAAATAACTACATAAAGGAATTTTAAGCAACTGAACCAGACCTATTCAAGCTTTGTTTTTAAACCCCCAACTGTCGTTTTAAATGCTGGGGTTATTTACCCTAATGTTTATCTTGTCCCTCAAAAGAGAGACAGAATGTAAGTGGCTTAATGTAAATATAAACTAAGTATTTATCACTAAATACTGGGAACCAACCCAGGTTGTTTTCCCCACCACATGCTGTTTGTGAGCTCCCTATTGATTTCTGCCTCAACATCCTTGCAAACAGAGCAGTGCACTAAATAGACAATTCTTAGGCTTTATTTAATACTTCACAGACTGCAAGCTGAGAATATCATAATTACAAGAAACATGACACTGATGGGCAACCCTATTCTGCACTTGTTTACTCAGAACCAGCTTAGTCAATGAGACTTCCTCTCAAGTAAACCAACACAGACTACAGCCACAATCTGACAAACTGGAAGACAGGTTCTCAACTGCGGTATCTCCCATTCCCGAAGAAAGTTCTAAAACTACCTTTGTTGATCAGTCCCTAACCTCAAACACAACCCTATGCTAGCGTAATTCTGCCAACCTTAACAATGGGATAAATCCACCTCTTATCCCAAAACCAATTTCCTCAAACTAGAAAGCCGTTTTCACGCTCCATCCTAAAAATGCGATTCGATGTTGGATAATCCGTGCCCCTGCCATAAACTAAATGGCATTTAGCACCATCTAAAGACCAGGCCTTTCACCCTTTCCAGTCCCGCTCTGCCCCCGTCCCCCCCGTTTCGGTAGCCGTATAACTTCAATATTGCTCGCCCCACGCCCCCTTTACATTAATCTTCCAAGGGTACCTCCCTATTGGCTACGACAGAATCTTACCCGTCCTTATTGGCTTCCCTGAAATCACGACACTCCCTCTCCCAGAAGCCCCCACCTCCTACCCCTGGCAAGCGGTCGGCCTGACACACCGCTCCCCCCCACCCCCATTTGTCCCAGCGCGGGCCCCTCCTTCACGCACCGTATAGTAGGAGAGCAGCCCCGCGTTGTAGTCGAGCACGAACCAGCGGTACTGCCAGCCTTTCATTACGTTGGTCCATTTACTCAGCGGGCCCTCCATGATGGACGCCATCTTGGGAGCCGGTAAGATGCCAAACAGCCCACTAGAGCGAACGCCGGTCGTGCGGGCGGGGGTGGGAGGAGAGGGGAGGGAAGGAACGCGCGATCGCCCGGAATGGGCGAGGCCTGAATAAGGCAGCGCGAGACAAGGAGGAGGCGCGGCTGTTGCCGTGTCAGGAAACCAACCCGCGGGACTGACGAGAGGGAGGAGATAAGGGGGAGGGGGCGTGACTTGTATGCGGAGGAGGGGGTGGAGGGATCCTGTAGAGTCGTTAGAGGGCGCTCACGGTGACCACGGCCGGTAATGCGACGGTGGGGAGAAAAGAGCCATTACCTCGGAAGACCGCAGCGTCGCGGGTCGCAACGTTAAAAGTTATAGTTGTACGCGTTTTGTGGCCCTTTATGTTATTTTTCACCATAAGTTTTCGTGATCTGAGCTCATTTCGCCAGAAAGCATGGAGTGAATGTTTACATCTATAATCAGAACTGCAAACGGGAGAGGGAGATTTGTTATGAAGGGAGATCTTTTGTGAGTCTCGTCGTAAATCATTAAGGTTGGTAATCCCTGTCCGAGGGACTGAAACTAATGTGGTTGTTACAAGGAAGCCGAAAGTCATGTTGCGCTGGGTGGGATCGCACAGTGAAGTTGCTACATTGCCCCGAGCAGCGTGGGTGAGGCAGCTACTGAAAAGCTATTACGTGCAGGTACTAAAAAGCTATCACACGCATTTTCTTTCTTGCTCTAGCTTTCCCCAGCGCCGGGCAGATTTCCCCTTTACAATACTGAAATGACCGAGAAGGCAAGATTTTCTGCTCTTAAATGTACAAAAAGCCACTCTCTCACACTGTCATTTTTGTCACTCGTTTGTCCCTATTGCTTTGGATCTCCCCCCCCCTTTCCACATGTGGTTTATTCCCTCTGGGACTACTAGAGAGAGCAAAAGAAATGGGAGCGGGGGGGGGACCCTGAAGCAATAGGGACAAACAAGTGACAAAAATGACAATGTGGAAAGAGGAAGCTTTTGGCCAGAAGAACTTGTGGAGGATGGGACAGAAATCTGTATGCATCTCATTCCCACAAGCCTGGGCAGCTCTTTTGTTTCAGAAAGTTTTGCTTCAGGCAGGAGGGTCAGGGTGATAACTAACCCTTGAGCTGAAATTGCTTCTAATCTGAAAAGCTGGAGAATGAGCAGCAGGAACATTAGTCGCTGCTCTGCACCATCCAGTATGATGTACATTGGAGCAGTACTGCAACCCTGGCAAATGAGAGAGTAATTGTCCATGTAATTTAGAGGCCCTCAGTTATGCTGAACCTCCAAGCACTTTTGGGATTTGAAGAGAGCATAGTGGTCACTGCCACAAAATGACAGTGTAGGCTCTAACTATAAGTTAACCTTGTCTTATATACTTCCAAAAATAAAGTTCCAAATAAATGAATTGGCCATTTGAAGACTGAAGCTTTCAGCCTTTTTGATATTGTTCCCCGCTTGTACATGTCTAATGCAAATTTGTCTAGAAGCCACATTGAGTTCACATCCAAGAAAGTATGTATAGTGTAGCCACTGTAAAGTTCCACAGAAACCGATGACCTTCTCAAACATTCTGATGACCTTCTCAAACATATGATATTGTAGAAAAGCTTCTGGAATTTTGTAATAACAGCTGTGTACTTTTTCTTAAACAGATTCAGTAGACTCAGTAGATCTTGGTTCCTACTGAGGCTGCAATCCTTAACTCACTTATTAGGAAATCGTAATACTTATTTCTGAATAAATATGCATGGAATTTGGCAGCACATCTGAGTGATTACAGGAGAATTACTCTGAATTTACACAACCTGGATGATAGTAAACAGACATTTGTTTTAGAGTTTACTTGGCTTCCGTTTTATTATAGCATTCTGTGAGAAGATAATGGAAATTTTAATTTTGTGTTTGGTTTAATTCTTCCAGTTTATAACAATTTTTTTGCTCTTTATTTATTAATACAGGCCCTTTGCTCCACCACCCCATTGCATAAGTGGGGTTTTAGCACAGACATGACTGTTTGAAACTGTGGGGGAGGAAAGCAACATTGACAATGTAATCTAATGGTGAAATCATATATAGTTTTTCTTTCATTCCCCCCCCCCACCCCAAGTGCTTCCGATCACTTTGAACTGAAAATGGTAGCATTCCAGACTGGAACGAAGCCATCATGATTGAGGTAAATACAGTACATTTATTTCCAAAAACCAAATTGAAGTTCTGTGATATACTGATCTGTAATACATTTAACTGTAGTGGAAAAGCTACAGAGGGTAGGTGACTTAGAATGAGGAAAGGCGAGCAGGAAAGGGATTAAGTAGCACCATCCTACTTCTCTGATTCCTATTATCCCTCTAAAATCAGCTTTTCCTATTTATTTATTTATTTATTATGAGATTTATACCCCACCCTCCCAGCCGAAGCCGGCTCAGGGCGGCTTACAAAGGAATAAAAACAACGAATAGACAATTTAAATGATCCTAAAACCATATAAAACAATCCAACATTAAAAGATGCTAATATTATCTATATATCTAATAGCCAAGTTGCCCCCGTGAGTCCGGATCGCTAAATCCGCACTCCG